TTGGTGAAGCACGCCCAGTCACAGAAGTGGTCGCCAATCCATTTCACCGAGCACCCGTAGCTGCACAACGGATAGCAATACGACAGAGAAGACGTGGTGGAGGCATTCAAGCAGTAAGGAGTGCCATCGAGTTGGACCGTTCGTTGCTGTAATGCAACGGACGTCGTGTTGCCGGGCGACGCAATGGGATTGCCGCTCAGTTCAACAACAACCTTGTTTCTTGCTGCCAACGTCTCGGGGACTTGGACCAGCTGGTTCCACGAGAACCGAGCGGTTCGGAGACTGGGAAGGTCAGGAGGTGCTCCCAGCGCTTCCGGCACTGACGCGAGTTGGTTGAGTTTCAAATTGAGCAGCTCGAGGTGGGGAAGCCGGCTTAAGTCGGTCGGGTACTCGGCTAAGCTGATGTTGATGAGCGAGAGGAACACGAGATTCGACCATGTCTCGATGACGCTCCTCGGGATGGATCGCACAGGACACCCCTCAACTACCAACACTACCAGGCGCGGCGACAAGTCGTGGCCGTACAGGGCTCGTGGAATTGTCTCAAGCGCTGGGCTGAATCGAATCGACACAAAACCGACGGACGGTGGCAACGGCCCGTCCCACGTAGACAAGTTGGAAAACAAGATCGAGACCTTGCCGAGGTTTTGAAACGGAGCCAAAACGGGTGGTGGCAATCCATCTGGCACGGCGCATCGACTGACTTGCAAGTAGAACAACGACGTGCCCACGATGGTGTGCGAAAGCAATGGAGCTGGATCGGCAATGTTCAGCTTCGCACAGTTGATGTTGGCATAAGCGCACTGACAGGTCATGTCCCACAGAGGCGTTGCCTGCGCCAGGCAGTACACGGGACACGATCTGTCAACCCCCAGCGCAATGCCCATCCACACGAGAAGGACCACAGACCACCCAACGTTGACAACCAAGTTGATCCGAAGGAGCCATCGGAAATATCTTCGTCCACGGGCACTCGGTGCCTGAGGGGGGCGATAAGCTGTCGCTTTGAGCATCTGCAGCGACGACTGGGACAGTCGCAGTGAGATGAACGTGCCAAGATGCATACCGAGTTTGCAAAGCATGTCAAAGGCAGACGACGG